TTGATATTTTTCAATCAATATGGTTTAGGCAGTTGATCAATGTGATTTGATTGAAATTTGATGAGATTGGATCACACACACACATACACACATGAACTTGCTAGGTAAATTTCTAAATCTTCATAAAAATTGCAAGTTGAATTTCATGTTGTGAGTGCATGCTTGAAAATTGATTTGATTGAATAATTTGTGGTGTCTAAAAATTTCGTATTTTTAAATTCTCTTAAATTCTTCCGAAATTTTTGGATCTCGTGTATGCTTGAAATTCATGGAAATTGCTATCTCATTTTTTTTGTTCAAATATCAGAAAAATAAAAAAAGATTTTCATTTTAGTTTTTATTAGGAATTTTTGTTTTTGATTGGATAGAGATATCATGTGTGTGTGATTGTGAGCATGATTGGTTCTATTTATCTTGTGGATAGAACATGTGTTATCTTGGATACTTGTCTTTGGTTCCATTGCTACTATATATTATCATATTGTCGTGCTTCTTGCTATATCATATACATAGAAGATATTTTTGTCTCTCTTCATGTTAATTCTCTCTTATTATTTATTTTCCTTCTTTTTTTAGCTTTATTTGTCAATTTGTAACAAAAAGAGAGAGAAGTGTGCACATTTGAGGGGGAGACATATATCATTGATATTCATATATTAATATATATGTTGATTGTTTATCTTTCTTGATTAAGCTTCATGGGTTGTTTTGTTGAGCTGATGTGCAGATTACAGGGGGAAGAAAACTACAAGTGATGAAGCTTCATATGATTCAAAAAGAGTTCCGCTTTATGTCTATTTTTGGACAATAAATGTAATTTACTTTTTCTGTTTGGGTTGATTACTTGTTGTCTTAGGGGTTTTGTCACGAAATTGCCAAAGGGGGAGATTGTGAGATATAATTTTTGTAATGGGCTAATTTCGGTGTCAAAACGAATCTGATCGAGTTATAATTTTCAAGTTACCATATCAAGATCGAGATCGGCTACGGAATTGAAAAGTCGTTCAAGTTTGATAAACTATGATCTACAAAAAATGTATGAATAACACTTTAGGAAGTTGTTTCCCACTTAAGACACTATACATACATGGTATGTTTCTTTAAAGTTTCCAAAACAGAATTTTTCCAAACTGTTAAGCCTTCCCTTACTTTAGGATTTTAGTTTCCTATTTTGTCTAAACTTTCTACTTGGTATAAATTTCCTTCCAAAATCCTATGTATGAAATTGACTTGTTTAATTTCCAAGTATACTTAGGTTTTCAAAGTCTATAAATATATGCTTTCTCTCTTAAACTTTTAGGACTTAAAAATATATATTTTTCTAATTGAGAGAATTGTTTAACAAAGATTTTTATTTAGAAAATCAATATGTTTTTTCTGATTTTATTTTTGAGAGCAAACACATAAACACAGGAATGATTTAGGAGTGTTGTTCTCCATCTAATCAGAATTGGAGCATAATTGAAGATTCAGAAATTCTGAAAAGCATAATTCATTCATTTTTCATCAAATTCATATCTTGAAGAAAAGGGGTGAAGCAATCACACTCTGAAGGGGTCAAAGCATTCGTGGATTGTTGTTTGATCTACCTGCAACTCTTCTACAGAGATCAATAGTAAGCCTGAAGTCAAAAGCTGTTGGACGGGAGAGTCGCAAAGCTAAGGATTGTCAGTGATGGGTTTTTAGTAGAACAATAGGGTGTGAGCCTGAGTCAAAATTTAGTGTACTTTGCTTCAAATATAGCATATCGTTTTGCTCTAAACTGCACAGTCCACGAGATTTTTCCCGCAACAATTCGTTTATTCTACCAATTGGGGTTTCCTCACTAAAAATCCTGGTGTCATCTCTCAAAACTTTATTTACTTTACTTGCACTTTATTTTTGCTTTGTGGGTTTGATTTTACTTTTATTTCAGTAAAATTAAAATAAGTAAAAATTAGATAAAGGAGCAAGTTAAATCTATTCACCATCCTTCTAGATTTATTATCCATATTATATTCCACAGCCATTCCACCGCGTACAACTCACAATAATAATAATAGTAACTTGGGTAAAGTGCAAATAACCCCCTTAAACTTTACTCTCTCTCCCAAAAAAACCCCTTAAACTTTTATTTTTACAGAAAACCCCCTAAACTATTCCAATTTTTGCAAAATAAACCAACGACACTGTTCCAGTTCATTTTGTCATAAAATGAAGGTTGTATTATAAAAATTACCGTTTTACCCTTCTTACTGTTACAATATGAAATTAATAAAAAGCCCTAATTAAATCCCTAATATGTTAATCCCTGCCACATCTCCGTCTCTCCATATAGCTTTCATCCTCGACAAACCTATCAAGATGGGTATATATATGTACACCATATATGTATATGTTATATAGGCGTAACATATTTTAGAATATGAGAATGGCCGAACCTAAGATTTTGGGAGAAAATGAAGGTGAAGGTTGAAGCTGTGTTCATTAGAAGACAGAAGTAGAAACTGAGATTTTGAAGCAGCTTAGCAATCGCAAATGTGAATATATATATATATATATATAAAGAGAGAGTGTGGGTGTGAAAAGATTCTACAAAAAAAGTCACGAATTTTTTGAGGCAGTGGGATATCTTTATGTAACAATTGGAAGATGAAGAGAGAGTGAAGGGTATAAATCCTCTATAATAGTCATCAGAAGAACAAGTGATGGGTACAATTTACTATCATTTGATTGAATTAAAACCTTTTTTTCCTAAGAGATGCTAATCTTCGACGACTTCAATTCTGATGCTGAAGGACTAGTCACGTGCATAAAAAACAATGGTATCTTTGATTTCGCTCTTGATGCTGACAAAGAAGTCCAAATTCCCCTAATATATTTTGATACAATCTGTATTGTTTACTCTGTATTCCTAAAAACAGAGGTTTAGCCTTACTTTTTTTTTCCCTAAAAAACCAAACAAGTAGGTGGTGAATCGTATCACTCATTAGATTCTAATCTTTGATTCCTACCTATTTGCAATAGGAAACGACTTGGACATTCCAATCAAAAGTGTACCAAGAATTGAAATTTTTTTCATTAAAACCAGTGCGAGCCCAACCTCAAACTTCATGACCGTTGGCGAGAAGCTCTACACATCAATGACGCAATCGCAGTGAAACCGGTGAGAGCCCAACGTCAATCTCCATGATGGCACACGAGAAACTCTAAGCGTCAACGGGAAATCGCATCAAACCTAGTGAGAGCTCGACTGTAAGCTTTATGACCGCCGGTAAGAAGCTATAAGCAACGACACAATCACAGCGACCAAACCAATGAAATCTCATTCCGGTGAACCACAAACAGACACAGGCAATAAACTTTTCTGCTGATCATCATATAGACCGTGAACTTCCTTGAAGACCCACTGGTCGGTGAAGATGGCTACCGGAGGTGATTGGTAGACAATATCTTTGGCTACGGGTGAACAAAAGTGTAAGAGAGCGTGGAGAGAGAAAGAGTTATGCATAAAACCGTGTTTGGCGCAAAAATATGTAATGAAATTACTCTAATTAGGTTGTGTTTGGCAATAGTGTTAAGGGTTAAAAAAAATCTAATTTAAGTGTTAAGTGGGTAATTGTGATAAAGTGATGTGCTGTCATAATACTATTAGCTATTGGCTATTTAGATTGCATTTGCCACGTCAGCAACATCAAGAACTAAAACAATAAAAAGACGGAGTTTCACTAAAAAGTAATTTCGTAATCAAACATTTTTGGAGGTCTCTAATGAGACCAATTATTTATTTTGTCCTTAAAGTGCACTATTTTGATAGTTTAGGGAGATAATTCTTAAATTAAGAGAGTTTCATGATTAATTGATAGTTCGGAGACGGATTTTTTGCACACCCTAAGAACTTTGATGCACTAAAAAGTAGGGGCGCAAATCCTTTGTTGTGAGCTTTCTATGAGGTCCCCTGTTGTGAGTTTTAAGTGGCCTCTATTTTGCCACATCATTCTTCATTTAATAGCTCTTAAGGCAGCGTTTGAGTGGAATTGAGACAGCGTTTGGATCATTTTTCACCACTATTTATAAGTATCTTCACACACAAAATAAGTTATGCACATAATACAGACTAAGTAATGTCACATACAAATGTAACTCAATTCAACATACTATGTTTGGCAATTACACTACTATTTATAAGTAACATTTCACCATCATTTATAAGTATCTTTACCCTTAAATTAAGATATGTACATAAATGGTGATATTACTTTTAGACTCCTGTGATGGTACATTTTAGATTCTGTGATGTTACTTATAAATGGTGGTGTATCTTCACCCTTAAATTAAGGTATGCACATAAATGGTGATGTTACTTTTAGACTCGTATGATATTACTTTTTAGATTGTGTAATGTTACTTATAAATGGTGGTAAAATGTTACTTATAAATAGTGGTGTAATTATCAAACGCGAATTTAAGGTCTGTTTTATAAAAAAATACGTGATCAAACCAACGCACGAGATAATGGACAACATAGGGCTGCAAGAATAATTACAATGGGTGATTCGCGCCCTAAAAGTAGTGTCCTCTCCTTGTACTGGCTCCGAATTCCTCTCCAACCACCACAATTCCTTTCCAACTACCATCTGAACAAGAATTAATATGACCTTTACCCAAACATGCAATAATTCATTATTAACCTTTGCATTTACTTCGAAGCATCTGTAACAGGATAGAGACAACAATTCCTACAACCACCGTCCGTTCTTCCTTGGGCCAAACTGTTTCCAATATATATATATATATATATATATATATATATATTCCGTACATGTATACTTGTATTGACAGACATCTTGTTTGCTGTCTTAGATCTATTTAAATCCATGCACAGAAGATCTAGTTGGTCATTACTTATGTCATTTTGGAGTATCAGTGCCTTAGATTTGTGATCGAAAAAAAATTTAATTCAAAATTTGTGTTAATTTTTTTCTAATTTCAAATCCAAACATCAACACAAAAACAGAGAGTAACATGAAAATTAGTCCTTCCATAACATCAAGCTCTCAAACTCAAAGGGTGTAAATAACAATACGCCTCTCTTGAGGAAAATCTCATACTTTTTACAATTTTAGGCCTTGATGGGTTTTTGGGTTTAGAGTCATTTAACAGAAAAACCCAAAAGGTTCTTTAAAAAAAAGATCACTAGCTAGATCAAAATACAGTGAAGAAAGATGTAAAAAAAGAAAGAAAGAAGCATATATTAAATATGCTGCCTTTCTTGGAGGTGACCCATCTCTCTCCAACCAAAATGATCACACTTCAACTGAGCATCGACGTCAGTGACCGGAAAACCCCTTCTTCACAGGGAATTGTGAGACCCATGTCGTGATCGAAGCCGAACTCTTCCTCGGCTCGCCGGAGAAGGCACTGGAATTCGGGATGAGACAAGAACGAGATCGGGACTATGTATCTAGTTCTGTTCTCTCCGACGTACACAGCGAAGTGGCCTTTTGGCACGTCGAGAGGGAGGCCGTCGTCGTCGTAGCCGTGTTTCTTTCCTAAGCTCGAGCATCTCTTGAGAATTTGCTTCAGGACTGCAGTTTGTGCTAGTTTGTTTGATTTTCTAATCGCCATTTTTGGCTGAAAGAGAGTGTGTATGCGTTTGTGAGAGACTTCAGAGAAGAGAATAGGGCTGGCCGTGTGCTGTGAGCGGCTAGAGAGGGGTTTTAAGGGTATTTATTAAGTAAGTTGAGAGAGAGAGAGAGTGAGTCATGTGGGGTTGCAAGGGAAAAGGACAGACCACGGGTGTTTTGGGGGTATGTGTATTGTGTATAAGGACATGGTGGGAGCCAAGACCCATTGGGTTCTCTCCTTTGTTGGCCCTCCAATTGACAACACGGCCCCTATTCTCTCTCTACTTTTAATTTACCTCTAGTAGTCTATTTTGTGTTATGTCCATTGACACTGACACCGAATGTCACACAATGGTTCTAAATAGATATCAATTTTACGTTTTGAGTGCAATTTTACTTTCACGCTTTATGCATGGTTCACTGTATCAGTTAGTGTGTAATTCTTTTTTTTCTAATGTCATGCAATCATTCTAAATGGATGTCAATTTTACGTTTTAAGTGTAGTTTTAATTTCACGTTTGGAGCATGGTTCATCGTATCGATCGGTTCGTAATTCTTTTTAAAGAATTTGACGCCGTTACACGCATTTATGAATCGATTTATATTAATATTTATTCGATTCCGTTACACTACGATCGTGAATAATACTATAACTACAAGTCATGGTTCTGAATGCGCTTTGACTCCTGTTTTCACTCTATGTGACTTAAATCTTGCCGCTTCTCTTCTTCGACTCTTTTACTCTTGACTAAGGACAACACATATAATGAAGATTTATTGATAAAAATGCTAATTTTGGGCACATAATTTTTAATGTAAAGAAGATTCCGGAGAGGATGAATACATGAGTTAGCAAAAAGAGGAAAATTAATTCATATAAAAGGCAAAGACAGACGATCAAAGATAAACGTGGAATGAAGTAATAGAATTATTTTTAAAACCTTAAATTTGACAAGTGAAATATTTTGTGATGAGTACGAATGAAAAAATTAAATTATGTACCCAATTCAATCTGTTGATATGAAAGTCGAATGATTATAATGATGATCATGTCTTTTAAATGTTTAGATGTGGCTGATTTAATAGATTTTTGTTTGGCTCAATAACAAGAGAAAAAAATCGTTTTTGTCCTGCCCCAATTGGCTCCGAAATTGACTACATATTTCAACATCACACTTTGAAGTATATTTGTTTCGGTTGCCAACATTCTGTCTCAAGTTTTAAAGAGCTTTCTTTTCTCTCCCACCATATCTATTTGAATGGCTGGCAATTATGGATCCCAATTTATATTTATTTATTTTTTTTTTTTTTTAGTGAATTTGATTTTTCCCAGAATATCAATTTTCTATCCACTATTGTGTATGGTTCATTCACACGAGACTCGTATATATCTAGATATATTTACTGAAAAAGGAAATATTATTTTTAATAAATTTATTTTTTATCACTTAGGCTCCTTTTGTTTGTATATAAAATATTTTTAAAAAAATTTATTTTTTAATTTTTTGGTATTTGGTTATCGTAAAATATTTATGAAAAAAATATATTAAAATCTAACAAAAATAATTTAATTATTAATTTTTGACAAGTTATTTTACAAGCCTTGTCCGATGGACTCGGTCTCAATCTCGACCTAGAGTTTTGACAATAACCAAAACAATAAAAAGAAAAAAATATTTTACCTGAAAAATAAAATATATTTTTTCCGTCAAAACAATTTACCATGGTGAAGATGGCAGATAGATTTTTTACTGTACCAACATGAAAGAAATGTTAAACCTCTCAAACACTAATCTCTATTTGGCTCTCAAATATTGTGCAAGAAAGCAAAAACTAACACCTTATACAATTGAGTTACAATAAATGACATAGACACCTTCATAATTCAGTGGGTTAGTATCTTCGATTAAAAAAATTCATGAGTTTCAAAATTATTACTGTACATGATTCTGAAAACATTAGCTTTTTCAAAATTATTAAAGTACTCGTAAATAAATACTCTCTCTGTCAAAAATAAATATCATGCTTTCTTTTTTTGTCTATTTCAAAATAATTGTGGACTTTTCTTTTTCAAACAATATATCTTCCATCTTTTCATATATATATACTTTAAGTTTTAAATTTTAAAATTAAATATTTAAAACTTAAAAGAATAATTTAATAATTTTTCAAAAAAATAATTCATGTCCCTCTGTCTTTTTAAAAATAATTGTATTAGTATTCAAAAACAACACTTAAATTGAAAAAGAATATATGTAAGTCAACTTTATTAGCCTTGTTTCCGGAAAGCAAGGGGCAGAATTCCATCCACAATCCACAGACTCGAAACACTTTCATACCCGTCGCCCCTGTGTTTGAAAATCAAGTCTCTTCCATTGTAAAGTGAGACCAATGATCAGTGTACCAAAGAGTACAATTGGTTCTTTATGATTATTGGGCTCGTGACTCTGCAGAACTGAGGAGCTGGCCAGGCGAAAGAAGCAGTTCCCAACTTCACAGAGTGGGTCCACATAAATAAATTATTAAGTACTCAACTTTTAGTCACTTCCGTTAATCGGAAAACCCAATTTTATTTTTTTTCTTTCTTTCCCTACGGCATAGCACAATTGGATGATAAAGACGAATTTTCGATGGAAAAATAGTATCAGTGTATTGAATGTGAGTTTCTCAAAGGCTTAAATTTCGCTTGTGTCATGACATCGGTACGGGTATAGTCATCCAATTACAAATTTTTTTTTAAAAAAAAGTTGGATAAAATACAAAAAATTGCTTGAACTTGATATGTTGCCCTATTGTAAATAACATTTTTGAATTACAAATTATCCCTCTTAAATTATTGATTTATTATAATTAAGGACAAATTTATCAAAAAAAACTATCATACCCTTTTTCATTAAATTTGTCATTTCTTATTAAAATTTTTAATCATTTTTTCTCTTATTTAGATATTAATTATATTATTTACTTTAATTTTATTATTAGTATCAATTTATCATAAAAGTAAAAATTTGTAACTAACATTTTCTAAAATGATCAACTTATTATCAAAATTTTACTTTTTATCGTAAAACTTATTATACTTAGTTTAAAAAAAATTACAATATAAAATACCTTCTTTTTTATACAATATATTCATAAAAAAATTAATAAATTACTTAAATAAAAAAAAAATACCTTCTTTTTCATGTAATATATTCATGAAAAATTGAGAAATTACTTAAATTGATTTAAAATTTTATACTCAAGATATTTACTTAAATAATTAATTTTAAAAATTAAAAGTAATTTATACAAATTTAATGTAGCATATGTCATCAAATTAGTATGAATTTTTTTCATAATTTATTTCAATGAGAATAATAAATTAAGTATAATTCAATAAGAAAGAACATTGTGATCATTTAATGAAAAATAATTTATACATTGAACAATTTATAACAAAATATAATAGTTTAAAGAATATTATGCACAAAATATACTTTAAATGAGTTATTTATAAATTAAAATATAGTTATGAGATTTTTAACAATTTATAAAAAAATAAAAAAATAAATCAAAACTCTTTTTTTCTACCAAAGTCACAGACCGATGACAAGTGTACTTCGAAGGTACACATTGGTTCTTGTGTGTTGTTGAGACTTGAGCTTTGTGATTATATTAAGTTGCGTCGGGTAAAAGAACCTTTATTTTTCACAGTGAATCCATATAGTAAGATATAGCAACTGAATCCCATGTGCACTTAACTGCAAGTTTTGAATCTCCAATACCTTTATCTTCATATGGTCAAGACACCACTCACGAGAAATAGAAATATATATATATATATATATTATATGTACTCCGTATTATATTCAAGTAAATATAGCTAAAAACCGGGCAAAACCCTACCCTACTTGCATGGCATATACTTCTCCCGTAAAAGTATGTATATTCTCAAAGGTCCGAGTACTTTTATACCCATGTCAGAGTAGGTTTTGTATTTTTATATACACATAGTATACCATGTATCATACTTCAATCACAAAGAATCTTACTTTACTCTATTGCACAGTAGTTCTTTTATATATATATTAGTTTTTTTTCAAGGCTATTTCATGGTAGTTCGATCACACCCATGTTATCTCATACTTCAATCACGCATTTATTTTTTATTTTTTTATAAAAAATAATTATAAGAAAAAAAAAAAAAAAACTTGTCATGAACTGTCTCATTATATCACCAGCATGATAACAAAGTTGATTAACCTTTTGAAATTCCAGCATAGTCCTGTGGGATTATTGGTACCTAATTTGGTGCCTAGTGCTACTATATATGTGTATATGTATAAAAGATGATGATGATGATGATGATGATGATATATATATATATGAGTATACAAATTGATTATATATATTAACATTTTTTATTTTGTTTTTATCTTTTGGTGGTGGCAGCAATGGTCGGTGGGGAGGGAAAGAGATAAGGGGATAATGGAAGAGACTAAAAGTTATGTTGATTGAAGGGTATTTTGGTCATTTTGTTGAGATGATATTTTGGATTTGGAGGCAACTTCAATATTTCATATTACTTTAAAGACGATTGGGGTGTGATCGGTCAATTTGAAAAATTTGTGAATGTCATTAACTAAACAACATTTAAAAGTATCTCCAACCGTTGTGTATATCTTCTTATGTAAATCTGATAAGTCGTAATAAATTTATACAAAAAATTTGAATTATTTATTTTTAGCTTTAATGGTTGTTTAATATTTTTTGTGTAAAAATATATTACCCAATAACAATTAACCACTGTCATGCGTGGATCCCATATAATTTTTTAAAACTTACTTAATATAGGGTTATTCGTTAATGGAATGGGAAAGAGAGATAAGAAAGGAAATATGCTAATATAGCTGTATAAAAACGTTTTGTAAAATACACAATAATTTTACACATTGATGACGTAGGTACGTTGTGTAAAATACACAATAATTTTATACATTGGTGACGTGGCAGTATATCTTCACAGACTGCTGGAGATAAAAAAAAAAATTACACATTATACATGGTAATATATATTTTACACAAAAGAATATTTTAACATACTGTTA